ACTGCTTAGGTGGACTGGCCAACTGCAGCTGTTGGTTGATGCACTGCTAAAAATGAGGGGGTTGTTAACCTAAACAGTCTTAATTGTCTGCACAACCTGCGGTACGTGGACATTAGCTGTAAAAGGTAGCTTCAAATCTATACATCGAAGTTGTATAGCTTCCGATTCTGAAATATCAACTAGATGGGCTAGGGTATTTAGGGGTATTTATAAGATTTGAGCTAACTATTCCTACGAGTATCTACCTTTTCAAGGTAGACCCGCCACCCATGAGATGCGAACCTCCTGCACATCTGCTTTTGGCCAAAGGTTGCTTTGTGCCGAGTTGCGATTCCACTTTGATTGGCCACTTTGAGTGCTCATTGTCGGTGAAAATCAAATTAGAAGCGGGCTCCTCCTGCTGCTCCTTCTCCACCCGAAGTGGAATCACTTTGAGGTAGCTCCAGCTCACATCTGACTAATTCCAGGCCATTTCCGAAGCTGCACTTTGTCCCTGAGCGCCGTGGCATGCCACATGCATCTCTGTCAGGCGGCACACACCCCCATCCTGCCCTGCGAAATGTAGCGGAAAATATGGCGTTAGTCAGCGCAGAAACAGGAAGACGGAGCAGTCCGCAAATGGATTGCCTTCCACGTGGACGGGCGGCAGCGACCAAACAGGTCAAGTGAGTGGCCAAAGTCCTGTTTTGGCCTTCAGAGCCTGCCGCTTACGCAACACGATTCCCGGAGGAAGACAAAACTGAGCGGGTTTAGGACACCCCGAATGTATCCGAAATTAAGTCGTTATCCAGCGCTGAAATATATGCAAATTGTTTTCGGCTCATGTCAGACATAAACTCTTTTTATGGCCAAGTGACATGTAAAGCCACCTAACCCACTCCTGCCCCCAATTCCCCACCCCATTTGTCTGGAAACACTTTCGTCTGCGTCTGGCAAAGAGAATTATTCCAGCCCCACTGTGTGTGCTCACGTTTATGCACTCTCCGTGTATCCAGAATCAGATAAGCGGAGCACACAGCTCAGCCCACTCCGAGGTGGGCTTTGGCCCCCTAAACACTCCAGCGCAGTGGCGGATCCAGTGGGGTACTTTGGAGCTCAAACTCCACCGACAGATTATTAATGATAGTTGAAAAAGGAGTAGGAGCACTTCACTAGTGAATAGTTACAAAAAGTAGCTATTCACTTCATTTTCCAATCCTACTCAGCTCAGGACCCAACAATATCTGAACACCTTTTGAGCTCCTGTGCCACTGCTTAAGTCCTTGCAACTTACAGCGGGAGAAGAGGCGACTTGCCGCACACGTTGTAGAATAATTGCGAATCATAAATATGAGGCACGACGTCCTCGACATTATTTAGAGGCAAACAGCAGGTCATAACTCTGCCCCCCTTTTCCACTTGCCGTTTATGGCCTGTTGATTTCGCAGAGTGCAGCTAACAGTTAATTAAGACATTCAAGCCAACCCCACCCACCCCGCCAATCGGCCATCCAGCGACTCATTCACGCCGAGCTCCGCTCCGGATCATCGCGTGTCTGCATCGCGGAGGAGGGAGAGCCGGAGGAGGAGGTGCAGCGGGCGGGAGAAAGACTTTCCATGTTCCATGTACCCTCCATCCACAACCTTCTACACCCGGGAAACCCACGGGGATGGGGCTACAAGCTTCTAATTGAGCGTGCACTGGGCGCTTCTAATTATCGCACGAAGCGAACAGTTTCCCATTTCCCATTTCGATCCCTTAACGCCATTGTTCCCCTTTTCCAGGACCTCTGCCTAACCCTTCATCTTGTTTGTTGTTATGTTGTTTATGGCAAATGGCCTGCGACATTTGGCGAAAGGCTCAGCCGAAACACGAATTAAGTTGCTTGCGTCTGCGACAAAGTTTAAAGTCGCTCCTGATTCGATGGGGAGGATTCGGGCTGCGGTTGGGCTCTTACCCCCACTTACCTGTGCACCCAAACAGCCATCCATCCATCCATACATCCTAACTTCATTACCCAGCACGGAGCTTGTGTGTGCAAATTTCCTGTTCTGCTTTTTACGGCGGCACGTAATCAAATTAAGCAATTACTGCCTGGCGCTCCTCCCCTCCGCCCTCCGCCCACCGCCCACCACATCCCCTTGATTGCGGGGCAACTTCAAGGGAAAATCACCAGCTGAAGTTGGGCTCTGCAATCATAATGGTAAATGCTGCCCAGGCAAATGGATTCGGGCTCCAGACCACCAGAAATGTTACCCTGCGCACAAGTGGGAATCAGTCCAACACCAGCCGTTCCACCGAAGGACATTCGCATCCTGGCTAATCCATGTCTGGTACTCGAACTCCGAAAGGGGAGAGCGATGTTAAACTGGGATGGATTGGAGTTGGGTTGAGGCATTCCTCACCCCCATCCACCCACTGAATTTGGATGATAATCGTTGGGTTTATGGCCAATTAATCAACTCTCCAGAGGCGCAAAGGCGAAGGAGGGGGATACACCACTCCCTTAACGGCTCCTAAACAAACATCCTGGACATGACTTTGGCCACTTTCCAATTGGACAAAACCCTGTAAGCGATATATTTACGATTCCTCGGGTTCAGATGGACACACCACGTTGTCAATTAATAATATTGAATGTGAACCCGCATTGGAGTGGGTATTCCTGTGTCCTGTGTCCTTGGCCTTGGTCATCCCAGTGCTCCCTTACTGGGCGTATCCTTGTATCCTTTCGCTTAATCGCCCGCTCGTAAAGCTCCGAATGCGAATGTCCCTAATTATAACTGACCACGCAGCAGTGCAATTCGCTTGCGTTTGTTTCTGCTTCTGTTTCTGTTTCTCCATTTCCTTTGGAATACCAGGAACACGAAAGAGCTCTCCCACTGACCTAATGAGCCATTTGGCCAATTGGGGTTAATGTCCACACCCGCAGGAAGGAGCGAAGGAGCGAAGAACGAACTAAACTCCGCTGAAGTCAACTTGAGGCTGCTCCTTGATGAATTTTTGAAGAGGCTTCGAGCGAACTTTCCCCAGGCAGGATAAATATATCAACCCGATTACCGCCTGCGAACTTCCTCCTCCTGATTTCCTTTATTCCTCGCTTCCTTTATTTGCCTCGGAAAAGAGCTCGGCTCTTCATTTTCATATTTTCCTTGTTTATGGCCAAACATTTTGGTCACGTGCCTGGGACGTGGGCATTTTTAGGCAACTTTTCGACGTGCTATCGAAGTTTCCCAGGAGGCGAGGGGCAGAGTGTGGAAAGGATGTCCTGGGGGCCTGGTTAAGTGCATTGTTCCATTGCTGATGACTGCAGCAATCGAACGATGTATGTTGTTAGCTTTGTGAGTCGGTTCGGTACCATATCGGTGAACCATCTCTCCTGTTGCTGCGAATTACGATATCTTTTGACATTTGTAAGCCTGGGTGATGATGCGTGAGCTGCAATAGCCACTTACTCGGAATCGCCTGAAGCAGCTTAGTCCTTGTCGAACACAACACAACACAACTCAACTCAACTCGACAGGACACAAACAGCTATCGGATGTTCTCTGCCCCGCATCGCTTTTTGGTGCGGATTGGAGTAAAGGGCAGTGGAGATGCAGATGCAATTCGAACGCTTTTGCATTCAATTTGTCACTGGTTTCGGCTCGGAAATGCATTCGGTATCAGTACCAGCCCCCACCTCATCGGTGGGTCAGCTCATGAAACTGTAATTCGAGGACTCTGCAGATGCATCGAAGGACCCCCAATGAAGTTCCCAAAACGGAGTGTCCTATATACGAATCTCGCACTGAGTTTACAGATTTTCCGCAAATATCAACAGCCTGGCACTCATAAATTAATTATTGGGCCGCAATATTGAAAAAGAGCGCACCGTAGGTTTCCTGAGGCAGTTTTTCGCAGCCTGATTCCTGGTAGTGATGGTAATGTAGTGGCCTCCATTCGCCAGATAAAAAGTTGATTATTTCATTACGGCTTACATCCTGCTGTCATCCCCATGCCCATTTGCATGATGTGGCTGGGTTTGCTGCTCCCCTGGCCTTCGGGTGCAATATCCAATATCCTTTATCCGTCGGCTCGTCCACATATTTTCCAATTCATTTCATCGCGAGATGTGCGGACTCATCTGATATTCAAATATCGCCGCTAAAAAGCGTAACCATGTCTGAGTCCGCCCGTATCCTGTATCCTGCCTCCTGCCTCCTGCCCCCTGGTGTCATCCTTCATCCGTGTCATCATCCCTTTTCTGCTCCTTTTCCCCATTTCCCCCTCACGATCGCATGTTAATAAAGTCGGCGCCAACTTGCATAATTCAATTACATCCCATGCAGACCCATAATAAAACTAAATCAAAGGAAAACAAAGCGTCACGCTTCATTTACTTTAGGCCAACTTCGCGGGGGAGGATTGGGGGCTTGTCCGAGCAATGCCCAAATTCAGAATGGGGACACTAGCAAACGGCTGAAAGCAATAAAATCTTTCACCAAGGAAGTTTCCGACTTCGACTTGTCGTCTCATACAAAAGTGGCATCCTTTGAGCTTATCCTCTTCGGACAACTATATACCATAAAACTGGATGACTGTTGATGTCCACTGGTTGGCTCGTCCTGCCAAGGATTTGCTGCTCCTGCTGCTGGCCACGAAAGTTTCCCGTCACTTCCGACAGCCCGGAGGCGCAGTTTTGCATGGGAAGCGTCCAGCAATTTGCAGGACCCACTTTTCCGGAGCTCTAAAACTTTGATTTCTGTATGGCTTGGCCTTAATAATATCCTGACTGCTGGCGAATTGGGCAATAAAAGTGCCATGCAACATGCAGATCCCAACGTACTTCAATTTTGAGTTTTGCATTTTCCCTTGTTTCGACAAAGCAACTGGCAGCGCTCTTTTCTGGGTTGTCGCCTTTCGGAAACAGGGTTTCCAAGCTTCCAAAAAGTTGATTCTTGTTGTGCAGCCCTTAGTTATCGACAGCTGTGAGGAAAAAAGTGAGAGTCCCAATTTCGCCAGTTGAAATTCTGTACAAAGTGTACATTAAATTCGAATTAGAGTTTTGCATAAGTGGGAATCTCTTTGAGTATCCATAAGCTGTGTGGAGACTTCGTTACTAGCCCGACAGAAATCTTTGAGCATGACTAAGCAACTGAAAGAGATTCTTCAAGCTAATGCAGACCATATAGGTAGGTGTAGAACATGAGAATCGCCAAAAAGTATTCTGACCAGCTTCTTTACAGATACTTTACGAGATATTTCAGTTCCCAGGCCCACTGGCAGTCTCATCCGACTCATCCACATTGAGCACAACTACAATTGCATTCCTGCTGATCACCCACCAGGAATCAAGTCCAAACGAACTCTGCGCCAGTTGGTTTGCTCCTTGCATGCAGAGCAAACTCTTGGCCCACTTGACTGTGCGGACTTAAAGGAGCACACTCTTAGGGCAGATGTGATCCTGCGACGATTGCGTCGGTTCCTCGCCAGCAAGCGCAGATTCATCGACTTTAGTCCCATGTCTGTGCTACAAGAGGCCATTGTGCAACATTTGGCCGCAGAGATGGGCTGCACGACCAGATTTTATGACGGTCAAGATGGCAGGCGGTACTTGGTTGCCTATAGACCGGGAATCGGTCCCAATTCCTTTGAATTGCGAGCTCGCGAGGGACATGTAAGCCACCAGAAGAAGCAGATGGATTTGCGCCAAATGGCAGAGCATTCCTGTCGTCTGGGCAGGAAAATTCTTGAGAAGTTCAGTGCCAACAACGGTATGAAAACACATGAAGCATGTAGATTTGTAGGGCATCATTTAGATGATTGATTTGAAAAATACATCAAAGCAGTTCGAGTTGATCAGATTTCAAGTTTAAATAGTGAGCAATAGGGGAAACGTGGCTGCGGAAATGAACATCTCTTCTTTCATTTTATCCGTGCCTGCTCCACTTCAGATTGCTCCTAAGATGTGATTGATTCGACAGCTATTCAAATCCGGCAGATGGAAAATAAATATGGAGAAAATAATGCACAATTCTGTCTTATTTTCGCTTTTAATGGCACAAAGCCACCTCTCAAATTGCTTTCCCATTGTGCGAAGCTCGTGAAGATGCAACTATCTGCAAAATGTCAGGATTACTTCAGTGCGGCAATTTGTTGTCCAGAGCCTGGACTTTAACCCCACATCCTTATTGCTTCCTTCTCTCTGGTCACGTGCCCATTTCGCTTACATTAAGGGGATTTGCCGTATTTTGTTTTCTTGTATAGCGATTTGATTCCATTTCCTGTTCGCCACACACACATTTTTCTGCCATACACCCTTTGCCACAGATCAACGTATATTTGTTTTACTCCCACATTATTATCCTGATCCCAGCTCCTTTTTTCTACGGATTCCCCAGTGGGGTTGGTGTGAACTTTGGCACTCTGCTGCAGCTTTTTCTCCGGTTTATCCTTTGTCCTGCAACTGCTGCAACTATTTAGTGCTTTCCACTTGTGTTTCCACTTCTTATTGTGTTCTATATCCGCTCTGCTACTGCCATTTGTTGCATCGGGGGATGACTGTAGCGCTCACCCTTTTCGCATCCAGCATGTCGAGGGGATGGACTAAGTCCTAGGAAGATGGGGATTTTTGGTTGCAGGGAAAGTGGGAGTGGGTGTGGGTGTGTTTGCTTCGCTGATAAGTGCACGTCTGGGGGATTAGCGGTCTCTTATCGGTCTATCGGTCGGAATCCGTGTAGCCGGGTCATCCCAGTGCCACTCAAATCGCAGCTTCATCACAGTCAATTTACTTGGCGAGGCTTTAATAGCTGCCATTGAGTCACGTGCTCGAAAGCTTTTCAAATTTGATTACATTTTAAAGGATTTACGTACATGTCCAACTGTTTCGCCTCGATAACTTTTATTACTCCCGTCGACAGTCTGCCAAGTGTAATTGAATTCTCCCGCTGGGAAGGCACGACTATAGACACCCTGGCCATATAACCATATAACTGCTGGCAATTGTTTTGACCAAGTTGTGCAATTTGTCTGACTGCAAATTAAATCCATTGGCGCTGCCTTTGTGTCCTGCTCGCAATTAGTGGCACCAATTGGGATTGCAGCTCGTTCCGCAGCTGATTCGGCCAGATTGGATTAGTGTCAGTTGCCAGTGCAATCAGGAGCACGAAGCAACAGTTGCAGGCTCCCAAGGCTGGCCACCCCAAGGGTGTCCACAAGAGCAGGGCCACTCCCCAGTGCGCATGTGCCCACACAGGATGCCGAGTGTCCTTCGGCCTTTTCTGGCTTTTGGCCCGTGTTGATGTTATGTAAACAAACGACAGTTGGACACACGGCGCCCGGCGAGACTGCGGCTTGTCCGAGTGTTCGGATACTCGGTTAATCGAAGGTGGGCTTGGCTTCCGGACCTCTGACAACATCCGTGCCGGTACCAGGTTTTCCATGTCGAACCTTCCAGCCAAACGGTGGGTAAATGGGCAAAAGGGACGGTATCCGGTATCATCAGATGCCATGTCGCTTACTCACCGTAATGAAACACCTTTGATATGGAAACCCCGGGAAATGCCAGTGGCTCGTAGTCGGAGATTGTTCCCACATTACTTGTCAGCAGTTTGTGTTGATTGCTAAGGGGTTTGTCCGGCACACTTTACCCATGCCACGGATGAACATTTATTCCACTGCCGAGGGAAACGAGGGAGCTGGGCAAATATTTGCACTCCATAATGAAATAGTTGTCCATTCAGACAACGGGCTTGTCACGAATGTTTCTTCTTGAGTCCCCAAGATAAGTCTTCAAGACATTAAAGAATATTTAAGCTCCATTATCTAAAAGGGTTTCCTCAGATGCATGTTTGCTGGTGGGCCTTGGATCCTGCTCACTCCATCTGATCCATTTTAAAATGCCGTTTGATTGATGTGGCACTCGTCATTTTGTAGCTTCGGCTTGTTGAATAGCCAAATGAATATTTAAAGGCTGTTTTAAGAGTTTTTGTAACTTTTACACTAAACAAACACCTTAGCGTTCGAAGTCTTAAACTGAAGCAGCACGGAAATCTGAACTTTATGTTTTACTAAAGTTTTACTCCATATAGAAACTATGCGCCCACGACACTTGAAGTCTTCAACTTCAGAAAAAGCACTCATACGCAGTGTGGCACAACCACCTTTGCGCTCAAATCACACATCCTGCCACAACCGCAGGATTGCGTGACCAGCACTCATGCGTATGTGTGTGTAACCCAGTGGCTGTGTGTGTGTGTGTGTGTGGGGGGGCACAGTGATAAGGGCAGTAACCATTGGGAGGGGAAAAGAGCGGGCTGTAAAGTTGCCCCGCTTTCGCATGTGTTTACATAAAATCAAGAAGTTGACACTAATTGAAATATGCCGGGGATTAAAAGCCACTCAATAAATGCCAGCCAGCGTAGCCTCAACAACATCCCCGCCCTCCCCGCAAAAGCCCCCAGATGCCGAACCTTTGTGCGGCTCAAGTTTCGCGACCACAAGACATAAGCCATAAAAGAATATTATGCAAATTTGATGTTCCGCTCGAACACTTCCAGTGGGGACCCTTCGCTTAGTGGCTCGTTGATTGAATGGCCACTAAGTGCTTTGGCCCAAAGCAGCAGCAACAACAACAGCGAAGGACCACCAATAATCTGGCTACTTGAATTATGTCGTAACCCAGAAGTGTGCTATGATTTTCGCTGGCAAGGAGGCATCCTAGATGTGCTTACAGCTGCGGTCAAGCCATTAGTGCAAACGCAATGCAATGCCATTAAAAGCTAATTGTTCTACAATATTGTTCTGATTGTAATGGTATAAGTGCTTAAAGAATTTAATTCTTTCTTAAAGAATTGTGTAGTTATTCACAGGCAGCTCGTAGGGGTTCTAAGCTTTCGGTTCAAAGGCGCAACACAAGCAGACTGATTCTTTTTTATCACTATATAGCCATGTTTCTATAGCCATAAATCAATGATTACGCTCCGATAGAGAAGTCATGCCCCGCAGTTTGCAATATATTCAAACATCCCATTATGGAGTCAGAGCCGCATCCATGGAATATGCACACTTTCACAATGGACAGATGACCAAATGCGAATAACTAGCTTATCCCACATCAGCTGCAGGCGAAAATGTTCCATTAGCTTTAATGTGCCTGCCCAATTCCCAGGGTTTATTAAATTCGCGTAAAATATTTCGCAGCGCACGGTATAATGGCGCTGTAATGCAGACTGGTAATGGAAGTGGACCAGGCCAAAACACCTGCCCATTGGCCAGACAAATTTTCAGCCATATATTTTGATGGCTGATTAAAAATAACGAGCGACATTTGCTTTTGTTGTCCCTGTAAATGGAAAATGATTGCAAATGCTCTGTCGCGTGGAATGAGAAGGAATGGTTATTTTCGTTCTCAGGGCTAATTTGTACAGACAATTAATTTTTGTTACCGATTTGCTCATTGGGGAGCAGCTTGTTTAACAAAAATGTTGGTTGCCGTTACGGATTTTTATCGAATGCAAAATTGATGGCCCATGTTTGCGGCACACTATTATCCACCGAGGATTCAATTGAGCCTGAATCAATAAATCGTCCCTTATGCGTAAATTAAATCCGATATTTTTGTAATTTACGTGCGTTTTTGGGGCAGTTTTCAAGCTACTGTGACATTTTTCATTTCGAATACATCGCACAGCATAGTTGGCAAGACGAAAGTACTTCTTCACTTCAAAGAAAACACTAATCGAGCCCTAGTTCGTTAACCCTTGCCAGTCATTTGAGATGCCCCCTGGAAAAGCCGAGTGCAAACAAAGTAGAGTGCTGAGGTGGAATAAAGTATGACCCGGAATCGAGGCAAGCTCACGATTCAATTAGAAGTGAAAGCCACTTTGTAATTGAAACAAGGAGGCCAGAGGGCAGCCCATCGATGTCCTTTTAATTGCTGGAGAATGGGTGAGCCGAGTCGAGAGCCCACAATCTCAGCAGGGCAGAGTAAATATTGTTCCAGACTGAAATTGTCCAAGGAAAAGCGGTGGAACGTGTTCCTCCGAGGAATTCCTAATGATGAATTGCCACGGGACGCGGAGTAACAGGGGGTAACAGATTATTATTCATTACTGCTCAGACTTCTTCCCTGAGTCGTTTCTCCGTCTCCGGCCTGCTCCTTGCAAGTAATTGAAAAGTTTTCCCACTCCAACTCGTCCATTTAGGGCTCATCTTCTGCTCATCGCATCTCATCAGCTCCGTTCGGTTCCGGAGACAATGGCAACTGCTCAATTTGTCACTTGCCGGAGGAGCTGGGCTTCCAGGAGGAGGACCTGCAGGCGTGCCAGTCTGACGGATGATGATGCGAGTGACTAAACAGAAGCCTCCTCAGTTCCTTCCCTACTGCTCCGCTCGCTGATTATGATTGAGTTGATGCAGTTAATGTGTTATCGACTAAGGATGTGCTCCTAGTTACAACTCCCCGTTTGTCTGCTGCTCCATTTGAATTCGTTACAGTGATTTCACATGCAAAACACACATTCGTTCCGCTTATGTGTCCTCTGAATAATTAATGCATCCGCCGAGTGACTTCTGAAAGTCGAATAACTCAGTCGTTTTTGAGTAGCTGCAGCTGCCTTTGAAGTATTTAAAGGTGGTGATGGGTTGGTATAGAAGTGGACTTGGTGGCTTCCAAGCCCGATGAGCCGATCCCTAATCAAGTGATTTAGTTGCCATCCCGCGGCGCTTTTTGGGCGCAGATAAGTTTAATTAAAACGACCGCAACATTCCTTGGTTTAGCTTGGGAATTACTTTCATCGGCTAGAAAACTATCTTCTGTTGCTGGTGAAACTTTAAAATTCCAAAAATGTTCCAGCGCAAAAAGAGAAATCGGAAAATGAAGGCAACAAACTTTTCTGATTTCGATTTTTATTGCGGCCAGAAAATGGGAAAAGCGAGAAGAGCTGTGAGCAAAAAGCAAAAGCCAAGTGGGCAAGAGTTTACCATGGAGATAGAAGCAGTTTCGGTTGCTTCTTGGCAACAATTTCATTTTGGGAGCACTCGACTGTCCCGGATCCATTGCCATGCCCACGAGGCCCACCCCATTGCACTTTGACCCACCTCCCTGCTCCAATGCAGTTGGCATTCCATTCGGGTTACCTGCACACGCAACCAGCAAGGATAACCCGCAAGGATATAGGGGAAGGGGGAGGGGAAGGGGGAGGGACAGCTGAATAAACACGTAGACCAAACAACAATGAGCAGGGGGAAAACCACCTGAACCACCTGAACCACTTGAACCACAAACATTTCCAAAGCCAAAACTTGTTCCCTTTTCCAGTTCATAATTTATGCCAAACAAACCCATAAACACTGCCTCAAATTTATTAAAGCGCCTTCCATTTTCAACCACCAACTCATATGCGATGTAAGTCAGTTACTTCATGGAAAGTTGCGATGGATCTCCTCGGAGCCCCTAAGCTGTTAATCTTTCGGCAACTTCCTAATTACTTTTGCAGGGGAGTAACTTTTATTTTGATTTTGCAAATTGTTTGCTCCGCCGAACCACACATCACCACATATAACATACACCCTCATTTCCAAGTCCTGCAATTGAGGAAGCCCCGTCTTCTTTTGTCAACTCCACTCTTTCTGCAGTCTGATTTGCACTAAATCAAATCACTTTTTAACCAACAGGAACTGGGCAGAGCGAGGAAGAAATCGGAGCAAGGAACATGGAGTGACCAGCAGCAGGAAAGTGGACAAAGTGACAGGCGATAGCCACAAAACAACACAGGCGAAGGAGGAAAGCAGGCCAGTTGACAGGAGCTCAGCCAATAAAAGCCAACCAAACTCAGTCTGGGCCAAATTTGGACACACTGATGCAAAAAGGCGGAGGAGGAAGCCACCAGCAGCAGCAGCAGCAGCAGCAGCAGCAACCGCAGCAAAACAAAACTGAAAACGGAAAAGTTGCTCTGAAACAGACTGCAAAAGGGGACTGAGGGGACTGAGGGGAGCAGCCAGCGGAAGCCGAGGCTGAAAAGTTGCCAAATTTGGTAGACAGACCCCTTTCTGGCCATCTCGTTCCCACCTCCAGCCGGAACAGTTAGCAGCAGCTGGAATTTGATTTTAACGCTTATTCGAGAGCTTGGGATCTGTTTGTGGCACCAGCCACTGACAACCATCACCAGGCAGGAGCAACTGGCAGCCGAATTAAAGCCAGCACCAGGAGAACTCCGCCCCAACTCCGCTTGGAAGCTACGCATCAATGGCAACACATTGAGATTGGCTGTCAAAGGGGAGCATCCGGATTCCGGATTCCGGACACGGGAGTAGAGCGGAGCGGAGTGGAGCCGTGGAAATGTTCGCCACTTGCGGCGACACATGCTCTGACAATTCATTGACTCGCAGCACCCACACCCACTAAGCCAACCTCCAACCTACACCATGGGACTCCTTCCTCTGATCCTGCTCCTATGCCTAACCATGTCCACCTCGGTCAGCGGCTATCTGAACATTTTCATCAGCCACCACGAGGTGATGAAACTGATGGGTAAGTCCAGTCTCATTTCCGCTAATCCATTAATGAAACTTCGATTGGGCCACCGCCACACCCACTCCACGAGCAGGACACCCCCGACACCCAGGATCTATGATTAATAGTTGGAGGCCAAAGTGCGACAGGACAAATTCATTGATCCCTGAACACGAAAACACAAACAGTCCCCGGAGTCGCAGACCAAGTCACAGTCATTAATAGTTCCGAAATTATAGTTGACCATTAAAGAAAGGTTGTTGCTGGACTCTCGGACGAGGGGAGGTGGAACTATATGGCCATACTTAGTGGGCGAAACCAAAACAAATCGCACACAAATCGATTTCCGCTGGGCCTAAACCACCCACCTTCGCCTTGCTGACAGCTGCAAGTAGCTTTCCCCATTTTCCGTTTCCCTCGAACTTTTCCTTTGCCTCCCCACATTTCCACATTTCCATGTTTTCGCCGTTCGCCGTTCCCTGTTTGTTTTCTTGTTTTTCCGTTTGTGGCTCCACGCGAATTCCCGTTATTGATGGCGCCGGCTCCAGATCGAGCCAAGGCCAAGTTCCCCAGCCCACTGCTCCACTCTTCTCCTCCTCCAGATGGGAGTTACACGGATTTCATAGACGCGCCAAGGAGGAATGGCCTCGTGCTCGTCGTTTGGCTCGCGACTTTCCTGCTCCTCAGGTTGATTAATGGATCGCCGGAACGGGAATGGAGGTGGAGCTGGGAGTGGAGTGGCAACTCCGATGGGAAGGCATGGAAACTGGCCTAGTTCGCGGTCCCACTCCATCACTCGATGTTTAGCTGGTCACAGCATGTTCCGGCACTTAGCTGTAATTGGAGCATAAATGCTTCCATCTCATTATGCAGGTTCCTAGCTGCCAAATCAGAGCGCTTCAATTAGTTGATGGCGTAAAAGTAATCCACAATCAGATGGATACTAGATTGATGGATGAATGAGCTGCCACCATCTCCTGTCGTCCATCATTCCATCCTTCCATCGTTCCCGCCTTCAAGCCATTCAAATGCATCCGGTTCAATGGGGCAAGTGGGCTCTTTCCTGGCAATTGCACCTTATAAACAACTTGTTCCGCCATTTCAACTATTTATCCCCCTGCAAATCGGATTTCATTGGCGACACTTTGCCTGGCGAGGATTCCTTTCGAGCTGCCTCTCTCCGCTTCTTGGAGGACCTGCCTCCACTTCTAAAAGCTCGTTATATTTCTAACGACCAGTTAACACCCCTGAAAACTCGCCCATCCGCCATTTGTGATGGCTGCCACCCTCCGAGTTGCTTCGATTTGAAAATTAACAAGCAGCATGAAATCAAACAAACTGACCCTCATCCTCCATCTTCTCATTTCCCGCACCCATTTCTTCGCAGATGAAAAATTCCTGTGCATGATTCTCCCTTGGACTTCCACCTCATTTCCCTTTCATCCTCCGCTGCTTCTCGGTCTCCATGGGAGTTCCTTCATGTGGAAGGCTCGTCACGGATGCACGAACTAGTGCCCATCCCATTCGACTTCCAGCCAACTTTTCCTGGACTCTTGCTGCACTTCCCACATGGAAATGAGGGCTTTTCTTCCAACCATTTGTTGTGCACTCCTCGGCTTCTCTGGTGCAAGAGTAAACAAAGTTCATTGCTTTCTCCATTTGGTATCAATTGTCACAGCCGAATCCCTGGACTTTCCCTTCCCGGGACACCCAATCCCTTCGATGAAGTGTCGAAAGCATTAAAATTAAACATTTTCTGCGCTTTTGTTGAGATTTTCCGCCCTGAGTTCAATTTGGATGTGTTGTCCCAGCAACGAACCGTTTTCCCCGTTGCCACCGACACCGCCACCCCCTCTCCCCCTCTCCCCCTCTCCCATTTTCCGACCTTCCGCTGAAGACTTTCCTGTTCAAGGGTGCGTAAAAATGCAATTTCAACAAGTTTCGCTTTGATGTGCACACTTTTTCTTTGCCACCCGATCCGATCCCCTCGGACCAGCTTCCCAGTGCCCCACCCTAAGGGTGGACCACAACCTTCGGCGGGTACGGTCTGCATTTCCCTGCGAATGAAAAGTTAATGCAAAAGAAAATTATATTTAATGAATAGAAAACAGCTCGAAATCCGCACATTAATTTACCCCCTGTTACATGTTTTCTTTCAAGGGTGGCTTGGCATCTGGAATCCGTCTTTATTGCTTCCAAAGGGGGGCAATCAGAAACTGTGCCAATTGAACTGGCAATCCTCATCGCTGATTCATAGGACAATTAGCAGGAACACCCTTAATCAGCGACGAGGGAGCCTGCCTCCCCTGAGATCGGCGGAGGAGGAGGAGGATGGGGATGGGGGGCAGGAGTGCACTCTGCCAACTAATGGCACTAATTACCCCCTTAATCTCATATGCAAATAGTGTCTCCTCTTGCTGGCAATGCGAGATTGCAGGCTCACCTTAGCCAGCCTTTTTCCGCCTTCACCCTTCACCTGCTCCCCTTCTCCAGAGCCCCCTTCCCCACCCATGAGAATATGAGTGCGGTTGCAGCGTCACGTGTGCGCGGCGGAGTCATTCAACGGAGACAATCGCAATGGCAGGAATTATAATTATGGCCAGGGAGCAAGACAGGTGGGGCGGTATTGAAGAAGGGTCTGGAGGAGGGGTCTGAAGGAGGGAATATCCAGAGGAGAGCTGGGAAGAAAGGCGCCTTCATAAAGGCGGCGGAACTTTCGCAGGCAAAGTTGGCGGCACCGTGATATGAAAGACGAGCAAAGTTTGGCATTACAGGCATGAGGGGAAGGGGTATGATGGGGGATTCCAGAAGATATCCAACTTGGAGCAGGACGAACTTGTGCAGGGGGTGAGAACTGCCAATGGATGGTGCTTAAAGTGCAATTCAGGATTGTGCTCCCAGTGAAGCCAATCGAGGTGACAGGCATTACACGGGTTAGGAGGATGGAGAGACGGGAGTGGTGGAGCAGCTGCGACATCCCAGAAATCAGAGCTGAATTAATTGAGACAGTCATTTATTCAAATGCCTCCTGCCTAAAAGGGGAAGGAGGGGAAGGACAAAAGGGCACAGGATGAGATGGGAACATTGTCCTTTTTCCGTGTTTGTGCATATTTGATGGCAAGCACTTTGGGGTTATGTTTGTGTTTTTCACTTTCCACTAGCTCAAAGAGCTTCGTGGGTTGGTAGGTGGGAAAGCGGTGCACTTGGCCCACTCTGAAAGCCAGGTTAAAAACGCGACGGGGAGCAAAGCAATTTGGGACTCAAAAACAAGCCAGAAATGGTGAAGTGGTGGAATAGTGAAAGGCAACTGGAAAGCGCATAGAAAGCTGAGCTGCTGGGGAGAATCAGTCTGAAGATGTAGATGAAGCTGGGAGCGGGATGAAAGCTAACGAAAAATGCTTTTTCTTGTTCTGTAATTGGATTTAAAATTGTTTTAAGCAGCTAGCGAGCGCTTTGTTCTATCCTAAATGCAGGCGGTTTCGTCCTGCGCCAATCATCCCCTCACTCGGTCCGCCGGAAGCGGAATTGCTACATTCAACATCCGGCGGAGTCGAAGTGGAGTCGGGGGAAGAGGAAGAGCTCGAACTTGAAGCGGGTAAACCCCAGGCATTCCTTCCTTCCCAGCCTGGTGAAAGGCGAACTTGGCCTGATCCCGTGGAGTAAATAATGCGCCCCTGAAAAGGGGGGCGTAGAATAGAAATAGGAAGAGCAACAATAAAAGCGGATGAAGAAATTTAATTTCACGTCGTTTTAACTCAAGCAGCTCGTCTTTCAATGCCAGCGGGTGGGGAGTTCGCATGGAGAGTGGGAAAGATCAGGACATCCAGGACTTCTGAGCCCGCCAATGCTACTCTGTCCTATGATGAAGCAGTCGCAGTTGACACCTTTTAATATCTCCAACCCGAGCAGCTTCCCCCAGGACGCCTGTCGCTCCTCATTTCGAACCGGAGAAGAACTCGAGACACTCCTTGCTTCCTCGCCTGCTGGTGACGGATTCGATTTCGATTATTATTGTGTCTTGGGCTTTGTTTACCCACCAGCATTGTCACCTAGTGTTGCCCCCTTTCCAGCATCCTCGTCCTTTCCTTTCCTTTGAGAAAATCAATTTCCGCTTAATGGCAGAGAGAAGCGCTCGAGGGGAGTGTAAACAGCAAATGCACAAAGTTTGCTCAGCAGGAAGAATCCGTAAAGGAGTGAATGCAGTGTAAA